AAAGAAAATAAATTTATTACTTAATAATTTAAAAATAATTGATAAAATTATATTTTAAAATATTATAACTAACTATTTTTAAGAAAAAATAATTATGTTTGTGTAATCCTAACACTCTTAAGCACGATCAAAATGATATTCGGTCTTCGTATCATATATCAGTGATCAGTTTATTGCTGCGTCATTTCTCATTTTGCCCATTCTATCACATTCTCATTCGCAAATGGAACTTACCCACCAAATGTCTTATCATCTTCACCAAAATACAAGTTGATTTGTACTAAAATGTTGCGTAAGGTTTCTTATTTTGAACAAGATTACAAATGAGTTGAATTATTTGCAATTACTTAGAATTTAAGTCCAAATGAATTTGATTCAATCTAAATCTTTTCTATCACTCAATCAATAAAAGTTGAACTCAAACTTATCCATATAAAAGAATTTAGTATTTCATTTGGTTGTATTTTTCCTTTTCTTTTTGCGACATCTAATCTTTTGGGAGGTTAGAGACTCGAGAGTTCACTAACATAAAAAGAAGAATTTCTTTTCATCAGAAATCCTTCAACAGATCTGGATTCCCCGCACCTTTGAATTAACTCGGGTAATTACTCATTTAGCTAGCCAAGTAAAAATTGGAGGAGAAAAGTACAGGAAAGTTAGTCACATTTTGGATTGTGGGGTTCCATTTTCTGAATGAAAAAGGGTGTAGACATTATGAAATTAGGTATTGAAATGTAAAAGCAAGCCAAAAGGGAGTAGAAAGAAAGAAAAGAAAGGGTCTGAAAACTCTCATCCAACAACATCTCATCATAGCTATGCAATGATGCTTGCATGAAATTCATCAAAATTTAAAGGCTATTTTATCATTTCCCTTAGCAGAATCCATCTGCCTCCTTTCTAAATTAACCTTCGAGATCTTTGTATTTGTTTTCATTAACTCAAGTTAAACTTCAAGAGCCATGATCTAAATAGGAGATTAAAGCCTTTTTATCCATATAGGGAAGAAAACATGTTTGATATAGGAAATTAATAGGGTGCTAAAGATACCAAATCAACACATAAATATATATGCTAGTTATCATCATGAAAGATTTGCACATTAAATCAGATAATATTTGATAACATTCATCAATTAAACTTAGCATTAATTAAAAAAAAATTGAAAGTAAATTTATTAAACAAATGTGTTAAGTACAGTGCTAATGCATTAACATGATATAAAGTTTGAAATCGTGCTAACTTTCATTGATTAAAGCACTAGAGCAAGGACATTACTTAATTAACTTCTTCATACAACGAAAGAAAGGAAGGGTGAGTAATCATGGTAATTTGTCCTTAATTCATGTTAAAAAAATTGTAAAGGACTTATAATTTTGCCTTTGAAGATCTCGAATCCCCAATTCCCATCCCATGTCGCTTTGGATGGGATTTTATTTGCTTGGTTTTTCAAGCTTTTCCCAAAAGGAGAAATCCCTAGTGCCAACAATGAACCAACCATTCAATCTTGCATTATATTAATATTGGTCCCCAATCAATCTAGGGGCCAAACCAAAAGTGGCCTACAAAAGGGCACACCCATTACAGATGGCATTACCCCATTTGTCAAAGTACTTGGCCTTCCTAATTATCTAATTGTGAAAAAGAGTGCCGAAGGAATCTTGAACCCCTTTTTAAAATAGATTTTGAGGCTCCCCTTTATGATTTTCATTGTCTTCTCCTTTGGACTCTACCCCTCTAGATTTTTGTTTATGGTTTCTTATACATTGCATGCTACGGAGGATTATGCTGTATTTTAATGATTTTCTTTTCTATACAAATGTAGTAATATATAAATTTATTTGTACTCCCAAATTTGTTTTCTTCCCAAATATACCTAGTAAAAGCAACCTAATCAACCCAAATCGTTTCACAGCCAATTTAATGTGATAAATCCTGGGGTTAAGGAAAGATTAGGGTTTCATTTATTTATATAAATTGGTAAAGTGATAAAGAGAGAGAAAGATTCCATTTGTTGCATAATTACAAAGCTTGGGTCTTTGAGATTGTAAGTTCCAAGGCCAACTAATAATGACATGAGAGAGCGAAAGGGACAGTCCATCAAAAATGTAGTGGCAAGTAAAAAGAAGAGAAAGAAATTGCCAGCAGTTTTACAGCCATATTTTAATTAGATTACGGAATATTTTAATTTGTACGATATGATTATTATAATTTTTTATTATAAATTATTATTAAAAAATTATTTTAATTTTATTAATTATTTAATTAAAAAATTTTATATGATATTAATATTAAAATTAAAATTTATTTTTTATAATATTTTATTTAAATTAATAATATATATAATAAATATATTATTTAAGGCACGAGTTAAAAAAATTTTAAATTAATTATATTCTTTTGTATAAATTAAATTATAAATATAATACAAATATACAGTAACGAACCTCTATGAATAACCAACCTACCCCAGATGAACCTTCTTTACATAACAGTGTGGCCAACTAAGTGGATGTAATTCGCTCTCATATCAATTAGGTTTGATTATTTTTCTCAGGGCGATTCTTACTGGTTGGGATTACATCTTGTCTTCTGTCAGAAGAAAACGAAAGATTATCTCATGTTATGTATCCTAGTTTGAAAAAACCAAAAAAATTAGACTCAGTTATGGTGTTTTTCTTTTATTTAATAGTTGTTTGTTGTTGAGGAAAGTACTTGGAGATTGTCCAGTGGCCATTGTTCAAAAATGGTACACAAATTCTTCTTGTGTCATCCGCGAATTCACACATGTTGATTTCTCACTATCAGATTTGACACAATCAGCAACGTTGTTGGACAATGGCCTCCTCATGCAACTTCAGCATTGACACAACCAATTTCACATTGTACCATATAGTTCAATGAATAATCACAAATTTGTTATTCAACAGGATTTAGTTTTAAAAAAATGTTTTCCATCTCTTGGATGAGTGGAATTTGATGAGATTGTGCCAGTTTGGATGAGAAATCCTTATCCCCGTTTTATTTTCCTCTTCTCTAAGTCTTTAAATAATAATAAAAAAAACTTTAAATTATATTTATTTCGTAAATAAGTGTAGTTTTGTTGTTAAATTTATGGTTTAAGTTTTAAATTTAATATTAAAATAAATTAATTTTTAAATTATATTAAATCAATATAAAATATACTTTTATAATATGTTTGAATTGAAGATAAAAGAGAAAAGAAATTTTTTTATTCAATTATAAAAAAATGAAAGGGAAGAGAAGGAAAAAAATTTATTTTATTTTATGAAAACTTAAAAAATTAAGATGTTTTTATGTCAAGAACAGCCATTACAGTTATCCGTTGAGTGAGTTTTAAAAGTAAGATTCACTTAATAATAACTGCAATGAACGTTTTAATTCTCAAGATATCATGATTTTCATATTTCTGTTATTTTATTTATCCTAAAATTTAATTATATATCTAAAAATATATACATAATTTCTTCTTTTTATTTTTTTTTTATTTTCTCAACTCAAACATAAAATTAAAATTATTAAAAAAATAATAATTTTAATGTATAAAAAGCTAAATTGGGGACACCGTCATCATAAAAAAAAAAAAAAAGAAAAGAGAAAAAAGGGCCCAATGTGATGGATATGACAGTTAGATTATCAAAGATGAGATTGATGCCATGGGTATCCTTCAGGACCCAGATGATGGCTCTTCATCTCAATCAATTGTACCATACCACTTGGGAAGAAAAAAAATGACAAGTGTGAATTGTGAGGTTGGGTTAGCGTTTGGGTGTTCTTGACCAAACAAACCCCATATTTTAGATCTTCCAGCGCTTCTTCCAAGGTTTTTAATCAAGGACCGTGCAATAAGATAAATAAAAACTCCCTAATGAAAGTTGGCAACATCAGTTGCTAGCTAAAATGAGTGTAATAATCAATTAGAGAGTATATTACTACTATACTATGCATTTAGGAACACAACTGGGCTTAAAAATGGGTAAAGTGATTCAAAGAAAACATAAAACGAAGTGTACGAGAGAGAGAGCGCTCTGAAGGAGGTCCTTTTAATATTTTAATGGTAGCAGTGGCGGTGGTTAATGATCAAACAGCTCTCTTTTTGATGCAAGCGTGGCTATAAATGCAGGACCTTTGCCACTGCTCACCTCTTTCATTTCACTATCTTCTGCAAATTCTAGTATCAAGCTTCTTTCTTTCTTTCTTTCTCTCTCCAAAGCAATAAATGAAAAGCTTCTTCCTTTCCAACTATCTTTTGGGTATTTGACCGTGTTACTAGCAGAGTAGCTGAGCTCAACAAACAGGGGAGGGGTTTTGAACAAAGACCCATATTCAATAAAGGGTTTATTTGTTTTGAAAAAAGCTGGGATGGAGGACAGAGAGTACAAAAAAGTAGTATCACAGAATCTGAAATGGGTATCTTTCTCTTGCCACTTTTAGTTGGATTTCTCCTCTCTCTTTCATTGTGTTCCAGAGCTGAGTTCTGTTAACTCTGACTAGGGTTTTGAATGAGAGGAGTATTTAATGTGCTGAAATCAATGTTTCTTTTTTGCTTAATTGACTGCTTCTAGAGTTCTAGTATACTTTACTCCCTATCCTCCTTTGAACTTTTCTTTTTCTGTGTTTCCTTTGTCGTGGAGGGACTTTGTGGTATGCAATTTTGGTAATTCGACTTCAGTAGTTTCTTTGGAAATGGTAGCAGTTCAGCCATGTCATCTTTGATTCATAATTTAATTTCTATGTTCTTTGGAGTTTTAAAGCTCATTGATTGAAGTGGGTTTTTCTTTGATTACCTCTCCTGAATTGTTTCTCTCTGTCTCTCCATTTAGGCTCACTGGTTAGCTGTACAAAATTTCATGCTTTCTTAGTAAGTTTAGCCCTTGTGGACTTATTTGAAGTCACTTTAAAAGTAACTGTTTAATATGTATTTGGGATTTGGATTGTTTTCCATGTGATTTGTTTGCTGTGTGGTTCTTTTCTACATGTTCCTTTTGGGGTCTTTTTGATCATTGGTCATCACATCCATCATTTGATGGTATTTTTAGGTAGTGGTCAGTTTTAAGGGCTTAATACCTGTTTAATAGGCTGTCGACAGATTATTGGTTCGTTATTCAAACACTTTGTGAGGGAGAGGAACTTGCTGTCGGTTACTATTCCTCTTGAAGAGAGATGGATATGAGTGAGAGGGTTAAATTTGAGCTAGGAAAGAGGAATGAGAATGCAGTGAGCTATCAGTTGCCTAGTATGCCATCAGACTGGCAATTTGGTGGTGTGAGTCTCGCAAATACATCTGTTGGTTTGGTTCCTATTGATAATCCCATGGCTATTGGTGCTTCTTCTGCAGCTGGTTCAATGGTAAATACATTTGGCACCAATCTTTGGGAGCACCGCTCCAGTTCACAAAACTTGGGGTTTTGTGATGCTAATGTTAATGTCCCAAATGGTGTACTCACTTCAAATACAATGGCAATTGGAAAAGGGGGTCCTGCCTCTTTGAGAAGTGACATTGATAGACCATTTGATATGGGCTGGAATCCACCAAGTTCAATGCTGAAAGGGGGTATTTTCTTGCCAGGTGCATCTGGTATGCTCCCGCAGAGCTTATCTCAGTTCCCAGCAGATTCAGGCTTCATTGAGCGAGCTGCCAGGTTCTCGAGCTTTAATGGGGGAAATTTTAGTGATATGATGAATCCTTTTGGTATTACTGAATCCATGGGCCTTTATTCTGGGGGTGGGGGGATGATGCAAGGACCACAAGAGGTTTTCATGGGCGGTGGGTTGAAACCAGTATTTGGTTTGCAGTCTCAGAAAAATGAGTTGAATGCTGGTGAAGCTTCCAAAGGTGCTTCTTTACGTGTTGAAAATAAGACTACTGATGGAAGTCCACCCAAGAATGAAAGGAAGAGCGAGAGCCTTGCAAGATCTGATGAAGAAGCAAAACAAGGTGTTGGTGGGTCTGGTAATGAGTCTGATGAAGCTGAGTTTAGTGGTGGGGGAGGACAAGATGAGCCATCTGCTTTGGAGGCTACAGTTCATGAACATTCTGCTAAAGGTCCCAGCTCAAAGAAAAGGAAAAGGAGTGGAAAGGTAAAACTCTTTTCCGTAAATTGTTCTTTAATCTATATTGCATTCTTTGTGTATTTATGTTTTTAACACTGCAAGCTGAACTTTTTGGTAGGATAATGAGATTGATCAAGCTAAAGGAGGCCAACAACCTGCTGAAACTGCAGTGGACAATACTGAAAATCAACAGAAGGGAGATCAGAACCCAACTACAACAACCAATAAGACTGCAGTGAAACAGGGGAAACAAGCGCCTCAAACTTCAGATCCAACAAAAGAAGAATATATTCATGTCAGAGCTCGAAGAGGCCAGGCAACAAACAGTCACAGTCTTGCAGAAAGGGTAAGTTTTACACTAAAGTTTTACTGAGATTTAGCACTCCTTGTTTCTTTGTGTTTAGATTATAGTTCATTGGCTTAACCTTTAGGTAAGAAGAGAGAAGATCAGTGAAAGGATGAAGTTCCTTCAGGACCTTGTGCCTGGTTGCAGCAAGGTTTGTTTTCTCTGATCTTAGAGTTTAGGGAGTACAGTCAAGTCATTTGCATATTCATGATAGCTGTTGGAAGACTTATCATCATAATTGATTTGTTTTTGCAGGTTACAGGCAAGGCAGTGATGCTGGATGAAATCATTAACTATGTACAGTCATTGCAGCGGCAGGTTGAGGTACTAAGCTAAATTCCACAGATTCTTTCACTCCCCCAGTTTCTTAGTAATCCAGTAGAATTGGCCATTGTTAAACTGTTAAAACTACAATCTGTGGATACTGTTCTCATATGCTATGCCAGATGCATATAAATGAGCAAATTATGGATCTTGTTGCAGATTGGCATAAATGATAGAACTTATACTGCTGTGGTTTTTGTCCAAAGGGTCTTGCCCTTTTTGAATCCATTTAAAAACTCTTACAGATTCAAATGCTGAAACTTTCATCAATCTTTTGTATTCTAGTTTTAATTGACTTTGATATTTATGTAAAATTATTGCCTTCTTTTCCAGTTTTTGTCAATGAAACTTGCAACGGTAAATCCAAGGCTTGATGTCAATATGGAAGGGCTCCTAGCAAAAGATGTAAGTTGATTAGCACATATTTTAGCAATCCCTCATCTCTACAAATTTAATCTGATCCATTAGAAAACACACTATGAATTGTTAAACAGATTCTTCAATCAAGAACTGGTCCTTCATCCACTCTGGGATTTCACCCAGATATGACTATGGGTTATGCTCTACCACATGCATCTCAACCTGCTCTTGTTCAAGCTGCTAATCCTGTCATGGAGAGCTCCTCTGATCTCCTTCGAAGAACCATCAGTTCCCACATAATACATATATCTGGAGGATTCAAGGAGCCTACTCAGGTATTTCTCAATTTATTGCTAATATAAAATTGTGTAGGCTTTTATAAATATTCCCTAGAATATGGTGTTTGACTAACAGGCAGAAATTGGTTTATTAAATGAGGATTCTTCGGAAGTCTCTGGCTAGCATGAAGTTGGAAACAGCCTTTCTCCCCTTATTTCTCCTTTTGTTTTATATTAGTAGAGCAAGTTTAGCTTTCACATGCATTCTGGATAATGGAAATATTTCGTGTGCTGCTCACCTATATGGATCTAGTAGTGTTAATTAATATTCCACTCTTTACAGCTACCAAATTCATGGGATGAGGAGCTTCACAATGTTGTCCAGATGAATTACGTGACCAGTGCTCCTCCTGATGGCCAGGATGTAAATGGTATGCCTCATATCTCTCCTATTATTCCTTATGTGTCATAAGCAAAGTGTTGTCTGACTGAAATCTCTCTACTGCATATGCAGCATCTCTGCAGCCAGGTAATATGAAAGTAGAACTTTGATCCTTAATGAAGCTGAAGCAACATGTTATGGCCATATAGCACTACAAATGTAAACAGATAGCTGAGGTCATAAGAGTTCCAGTTCTAAAGATAAGCGGTCAATTGAAATTGTCATTATCCTGATTTTATAGCCAGGAGCAGAAAAATTCACTTGGGAGGCTTGAGGTTTCTCCAGTCAAGCAGGAACCATTGTTGTCTTTTGTTCCGGCATTGAATGTATACACAGAAATGGAACTCTTAGATCATGGCAATATAATTGCTCTGCTAGTAAAGAGAATAGATAATGGATCACTGAATTGTATAGATTGACATTGCAAGAGCAGTTAATATTACTTTTTACACTCATGGTATGATATTCACAGATGGCGGTATGAATTCTGGCTTTGTTCAGTTTGAAGTGCAGCTTGTATCTGTTCAGCGGTGTATGTATTGGCAGTATAATGTTCTTCCTAGCTGTAAACTGGTTTGTTATTTATTTATTTATTATTTTTAATTGCAGTTGATCAGGAATAAATTTGCAGGGGCAGCTGCAAACTACATACATATAGGAGCAAGAGTATTGTACCATATGATTTAACATCCATATCTAAAGTTTGAACTTTTTTTTTTTATTAGATCATAGAAATAACTATTGTGCGGTCAAGACTGCAAAAACCGTTGGATTTGGAATGGGTCTCCAATCAAAGAGGCCCTTCCCTCACTAAATTATTATTGGATTCTAAAATGGAAAACTTTTAAGATCATACTGTGGTTTTCCAACTTTTTTATTTTAAGGACAGTGATGGGTGTATAATCAATATATATTTGATTTAATATATTATACAATATATTTATTAAAAAATTATTATTTTTTAATTTAAAATTAAAAATAAATAAATTTAAAAATATAATTATGTATATAAAATATAAAAATTAATTGTATTTATATTATATTTTTAATAATTGAATTAAAAATATATAAAAATATATATATTAAATTGAATGTGTATTAATTATTTTTTTATTTTAAATTCTTAAAAAATAAAAGATGCATTACTAACAAACAAAACAGTACATCACTTTGTCATTTGGAAATTCAACTCCCATAATATCCGCAATACAAAAGAACATAATATAGAGAAAAAGAAGGCACAGCAAAAGTCATAAAATCACCCGTGAGTTCTTGACCAAGTTCTAGCCATTTGATCAGCTGCCATATTGGGATTCTTCAACTCTGGTGATGAGCAGAAATTATTTAACCTTTTTTTTTCTTTTCTTTTCTTTTCTTTTCTTTTCTTTTCTTTTCTTTTCTTTTTGGTAGGAAAGAACCCGGAGGAACAAGAAAAATGTTGATTGGAGTTTTGACTTGTCTGGATTTCAGAGTTCAGACAGGTACTTTTAAATCATGCCTGAACATTGGCAGTTGGTTCAGATCTAGTTTTCGGTACCAAATAATGGATCCCTATTTCTTGGAAATTTGATTTTATAAAGAATAAAACTAAGATTAAAAAAAGTGATGATGGCTAGGAAAGAGAAGTCACAGAATACAAAAACTACTGATTCAGTTCATTTCTAATTATGTTGAATCTGAAACTTATGACTATGAGGTTTTCATTAATTAGAGCCATCTTAATGCGGTACTCAGCAACACTAATTTTTATTTTTCAACTTTACCCCTAATCCTATTAAATGTAGAAAGATTATTGGAATTTAGAAGAGTAATTGGATAACTTCAAGCTTTACAATTAAGTTGTTAATTATTCTCATAATCAAAATATCACCCTTTAAAAGAATTTACTTAATATAAAAATTAGTGAAAGGATTTAAGTTAGAGCTATTGTGACTATTAGTTATTTTCAACTTGAACAAAACATTTACTCAAGTCTTATTAGTCATTATTAACCTAGTGTAGTTGGTTCAATTATTTCACAAAATTTACTAACTATAAGATCTACCACATCTAAGTTCTTTTGTTTTATAAAAATGTCTTTTAACTCTTAGAGTATATACTTAGGGGCCATAGGTCATGAAAAGATGTTATCTCTGCAGATTTACCCCTATGAGATTTCTTTTCACCCTAACCTATTAATTCCTATCATGATTAAAATGTCACTCTCTAAAAGAGCTTATTTGAGACAGAAATTAGTGAAAGGACTTGATTGGAACAGACAACTTGCATGAGGGTTATTTCAAATTCTGTTTTGCCTTTTCTACTCCCCTTACCGCCAACTTACATTTCAATAGAAAAATGACCTCACACAGTAACTAGCGTGCTTTCTGGCTGAAACTCTGCTTCGAAACCCACAATCAACTCTGTAATTACACTAAATTAGAGGTAGTTCTTCAATCTACTTCTTCAATCTACGTCTTCACATCGGATGAACCTGCAAAACCTCGATATGAATATTTGAGGTAGACACTTCGATACTTAAGTCAGCAATAATCAAGTCTATCTCTGGACTAATGAAAAAAGAGCTTTATGATGGTTTCAGTTACTTTTTTGACGTGATGCCTGAGGGTATTTATAGGCCTTCGTGAGGTATTCACGTGGCTTACTTAGTATGATGATCGGAGTATGAATTGTCCTTAAAGAGATAAATTCGGGATAAGCAACAAATTCGAGACCGGAGAATTGTGTGATAAATCAGATGTAAGCATGCTCACTGTATTTATCGTGCAGCCATTTGATTGGAATTACTGAATTTAACTTCACTTACTATTAAGGAATTATTACAGTAGGTACGAAGGTTAAAAAACTCGGACCTATCCTTACAAAACCCTAGCAAAGACGATTCACTGCTTCATACTCAAAGCCCTAACAAACCCAGAAATATTTTTATCAAACAATCTCATTGATGTATACAGCAAACTGGGCAATATAAGGTATGCGCGCTATTTGTTCGACGCGATGCCCCAACCAAATTCCTTTTCATTGAACACCATTCTCTCAGCTTATTCGAAATCCGGTCAGGTTTCAAACATGCAAGATATATTCAATCGCATCCCAAATCAAAATGAGGTTTCCTGGAATTCACTTATTTCGGGATATGCTTCTTGTGGTTTGGGTACAGAGACTGTGAATGCTTCAATTTGATGTTGAGGGATGGGTTGTTAACTTGAACAGGATTACTTTTTCAACGATGCTTATATTATCATCTTGTCAAGGTTGTATTGCCTTGGATAGGCAGATTCATGGGCAGATAGTGAAATTGGGGTTTGAATCCTTTGTGTTTGTGGGCTTTGTTGGACATGTACTGGAAAGTGTGGTTGATTTATGATGCAAGAAAGGTTTTTTATGAGATGCCTGGGCGGAATGTGGTGATGTATAATACAATGATTACCAGGCTTTCACTGTGTGAGATGATTGAAGATTCCAAAAGGTTGTTTTTTAGCATTAAGGAAAAAGATTCCATTTCATGGACAACTATGATTACGGGTTTAACTCAAAATGAATTGGACAGGGAGGCTATTGATTTGTTAAGAGATATGAGGATGGAAGGTATGGCTATGGATCAGTATACTTTTGGAAGTGTTTTCACTGCTTGTGGGAGTCTTTTGGCTTTGAAAGAAGGCAAGCAAATTCATGCTTTCATAATTAGAACGAATAATAAAGACAATGTCTTTGTAGTTAGTGCCCTTGTTGACATGTATTGTAAGTGCAAAAGCATAACATATGCAGAAGCAGCTTTGAAGAGGATGACCCGCAAGAATGTTGTATCATGGACTGCAATCTTAGTGAGTTATGGTCAGAATGATTACAGCGAAGAAGCTGTTAAGCTTTTCTGTGATATGCAGAGAAATGGAATTGATCCAGATGAGTTTACTCTTTGAAGTGTTATTAGTTCATGTGCAAACCTGGCAAGCTTAGAAGAGGGTGCTCAATTTCATGGCCAAGCAATAGTTTCCGAGTTGATTTCTTTCCTAACAGTTTCCAATGCACTCGTTACTTCATATGAAAAATGTGGAAGCATAGAAGAAGCTAGATGACTGTTTAATGAGATGAACATTAAGGATGAAGTTTCTTGGACTGCAATAGTTTCAGGATATGCTCAGTTTGGAAAAGCAGACGAGAAAATTGATTTTTTTGAAAGAATGGTGGCCTACGGTCTGAAACCTGATGGAGTTACTTTCATTGGTGTTCTTTCGGCTTACAGTAGAGCAGGACTGCTAGAGAAAGGGTATCAGTATTTTGAATCAATGGTAAAAGAATATGAAATTGTACCAATTCCTGATCATTACACTTGCATGATTGATCTTTTTAGCCGAACTGGAAGGTTAGAAGAAGCAAGAGATTTTATTAATAAGATGCCTATCCATTCTGATGCAATTGATTGGTCTACATTATTTAGCTCATATAGACTTCATGGCAACATGGAAATTGGAAATGGGCAGCAGAATCCCTTCAGGAATTGGAACCCCAAAGCCCTGCAAGCTATGTCTTACTCTCGAGTATTTATGCTGCTAAAGGGAAATGGGGGGATGTGGCCCAACTACGGAGGGGAATGAGAGTTAAGGGAGTTAGAAAGGAACCAGGTTATAGTTGGATCAAATATAAGAACAGAGTGCACGTTTTCTCAGCATATGACCAGTCAAGTCTATTTTCAGATCAGATTTATGCTGAACTTGAAATTTTAAACTGCAAAATGGTAGAAGAGAGTTATGTGCCGGATATGAGTTCTATTCTTCATGATGTCAAGGAATCAGAAAGATAAAGATGCTTAATTACCAGAGTAAGGGGTTAGCAATTGCATTTGGGCTGTTATTTATTCCTTTTGAGCTTCCTATACGCATAATTAAAAATCCTAGGGTGTGTGGTGACTGCCACAATGCCACCAAATATATTTCTAAGATCACCCAGAGAGAGATACTTGTAAGAGATGCTGTCCGGTTCAATTTGTTCAAAGATGGAAAATGTTTATGTGGAGATTTCTGGTAATGGGGTTCTCTATGTTCAAAGCAAATATGGAGAAAGTGAAAACCTTGAGATTCACCTGGTGAATGACTGAATTCAGCAATTTAGAGTTTACATGTGATATATTTTACATGGAGGGGAACACTCTATCAAGTTACAAAGGAAAAAAGGAATATCTGCGCCGTATAATGGAATACAAACCACATTAAAGAATCAGAAAGTAAGTACTCTGGTTTTTCATAAAAGAATGCTGGAAATCATAAGTATTTTATTTTTTCTGACAAGGATAGAAGTTTTATTTTATTTTTTTGAATCTGAAGTTGTAAACTTGGAAAATCTGTGAACATATTCATATTCCCTTTCAGATTTATAAGATTCTTCTTGACCCAGCTGTTGGTTCTGTATCAGGAGGAAAAAGATGCTTGTTAATATAAATTGGTTAGCATTGGAACACAATGGCATTACAGAAGCTGATTTAGTTACCTGCAGTTGCGTGCAGATCTCAATTAGTTCTGTTACAGGTGCCCAATCACCAAAATTCCTCTCAATAAATTCATATGCAATTCCAGTTCTTCCAGGGCCAACTATAAAGAGCCCACCCTTAATTTCACCTTCTCCTTTAAAGTTTTGCTCTAACCCCATAGCTTTTGCACGCCTGTAATTTGCAATGGCCCTGGGATTCAAAACAAATCCTGATATGAACTTGTCCTTGAGCAGTTTCCCACCTCCTAGAGCTTTGAAGAATCCCATTCCCTGGTCGAAGACTACAACTCCTCCCCAATATCGGGGCCAGAAGTCTTTTACCTACACCACAAGAGTACTTACCATGTCAAGCAAAGAGGACTTGATTCAAATTAGAACAAGAATTTGAAGGAAGTATGACAGACACCTCTGATTCTATATGCTCGTGAAGAACTGCAATTAGTTGAACTCCTAGTGCATCGAATATTGGCTTTTTGGCATAGAGCCGGTGCGCTTCAGCTCTGCACATTATGCACCTGTTATCAAGTTCAAAAGTTGTAAACAAAAGAACTAAATTAGTGAATAATACTTCAGAGGAAAACAATCCATTTGTTTTTACTATGTTCAACAAATTGTCATAATCTTCCTTTTCCCTCTTGGCTGTAACAAAAACTCTACTCAATGCAAAATTCATAACTAACATTCTCTCAATCACCAAGAGACTCTGCTTTTATGTAGTTTACTTGGAAATTTATGACATAGCAATTGATGAAAGTTAAAACCCCTATGTTATGAAATTGCAACAAAAGTTTATTAGAGAAATGATGCTGAAAAATGAAAAACTGATGACAAACATGACAGAATGAGAACATTAGTGTGTTACCCAGGTCTTCGAATGCAAAGCAAGATAGCAGGCTTATCCCGCCATAATTCTGAAGCCTTCATGGGAGGAGTTTTCGATTTCACCAGGCGCTCCATCCCAATCTTATACTCAGGAGCTAGTTTCTGAACTGATATGGTTTCAATAACAGAATAAGGAGCCACGTTATCAACCACAGGAGGAGGTTGTACACAACCACAGGCTCTAGGCTCAGCAGGAGCCGAGGCAACAATCCCTTTGAAGATATATCCATCTTTAATTTTGAAATCAGCCAGTGATCCTTCAACGGATTTGTCATAACTTGGACTGTTTCTGAATACAGGGATTCTTTGCATACTTTTCATCTTATTGGAATTCATAGACTCATAACTCTTGAAAGTGCTGCTTTTTCCAGATGATGTGCTGGAGAATTGCCTTGAAGGGAGATTGTACGGTTTAGGCAAAGTCTCCGTACATGGGTTGGTTCTGTCCATGAAACGAGCAATATGTCCCCTCTTCATGCCAAACTGTGAAGACAAATCCTCATGGCTTAAGTTGAGGATCTCAGGAAGGCATTTCTTAGAGGCTTCTAGTCTATCTCCATATTGCATCAGAAGACGATCATGCAGGTATGACCTGATTTCCATGGCATCCTGGAGCATAATAAAGAAAAGTCTTAGAGGAAGCCAGGTTTTTTTTTATCCCTAATTTGAAAATAGTAATAATAACAGATATATAGGATGCTGCTTGATGTTCAGAGAACAGGATAATTGGTCAAAATGAAAAAGTTTTTCTTGAGATATGACATGCTATGTGGATTACTGACCTTTTGCTGTTGTGTCATGTTAACTGCATCCATATCCTCCGCGTTCATAAGCTTCATGGTTGGCACATCGTCCCATCCTTCATCTAATAGTTTTGGCAGCAATTCTTTCAGGACTCCATTGCCAACAAATTCTTCTACCGAAAAAGAAGCCATGGTCTTCTGCAACTAGGTCTGATTCAAAATGAATAAAGATCTTGGTTATGGAATAAGTCTGGTTGTGCAATCAGGTGTTTATATGTGTGCTCAACTTCTCAAGATTTATGACAGACCCAGTCTCCATTAAAGTGCCTTGACTGTTACAACTATACTTCATGTTTCGACATTTTCAACAAGGTAAAGCCTGCTTCTTTTTTTTTTTTTTTTGAGAAAACAAGGTAAAGCCTGCTTTTATTCTTTTCTTTATTCAAGTTCAACTAAACCAACTGGGTTAGGTTTTATATAGAGTCCCAAATCCAAACTAATACTCAAAATGATTATAAAGAATAATAAAATAATTTTTTGATCTGCAAAATCACTGTAAAAAAGATAAACATTGTTGAAATGATAATGATAAAATTATATAATTGTTCACAAAGTTTGATTTGACCAAATATGGACGCTAGAAGACAGAAGCTAGAAACAAATGCTATTGCTTGGAGATAGTCAAAGTACGTCTACGAGATAATCTAAGCAGAAAGTATATTGGCTGTTGGTGACCAAGTTATATATTTATCATTGCCGGCCAAAACCTGCCTTCTATTATAAAAAAATGTTGTTCAGGATTATGTTTATGAATACTAATTTACTATGGCCAACTTGCCAAGGCAGAGTTTTCACATTTCATAAAGGACTTCTTCAACCTTTTCTCTTATTTCTCTAGATTATGTCATTGTGATCAACCTCTTAATTCATTTTAGTTAAATTGTTTTCAGTAAATTAACAAGGCAATTTTTTACACTTAAATCAGTTAAACCTGCTGCAACTTGTTTGATTTGTTTGGTTTTTGCCCTGCATCTTAACTTATTCATGCCTTTACTAACTAGCAAATAATATTAGCTGATTTATGGTATATGAACCATGCATATGGGAGGGAAAAAATGGTGTCTCCAATGACTCAAGATAGTGAAGACAAGGTTCACATTTCTCATTCCTCTGCCTAGAAGATACATTCCAACAAGAACTTAACATGATTTATACATACACTGATGAGGCAGACTTGCTCTTATCTGGCATTTCTTTACAGCATTTCTATGACGACATTGGAATATCCTTCTTTATGTGGAATAGTAAGCAGTAGTAGAGACATTAGGCATCTTGTTAAGGTGTCTTAGAATGTTCTCGGCCATCTGCCTTGTACTACCATCTCCATGATGGAAAGCACTGATTAATGTGGCTGGAAACAGCCTGTCCTGTGAAATGTCAGATGCAGACTTATCTCCACCTTTCACTAGGAATTTCTCAATCACCCAAAATGATTTCTGCCACAGGCCCTCTTGCTTGTGTTCTTTCACAGCATTCAACACATGTTTTACTGCATGTACTTCACTCAACAGGCTCACACTGCTGTCCACATCAACCTTGTCATCCAACAAAGTGCATATAGCTGCCAATGCAGCTTCAACTACTTCAGCATTCTCATGATCCACACATGCTAGCAGCCTTTCAACTGCCTTAGCATCTACCAAACAAAATGTGCTTTGTGAAGAGCAGACTCCTCTATGAACAGTGCACAGCGGTATCTTTTTCTTCTTTGATGAACCAAATGATAGGGACTTAGGGAGGTAGAACAATTTCATGAATTTTTTTCTCTTGAGTTGTGGTGGTTTTGATAGATGTATTGATTCTGATGAAAGGTTTTCCAATCCAATTGCTGACAACTTTTGGACTTCATCACTGGAAGTCTTCACAAGCAGTTCAGTGAATACCTGTGTAAAGTTGTGGTTTCTTGCAAGGAACAAAATTTGAGTTTCGTATAGTGTAGTTGTGAATCTGACAAGAATTCCCACCAGGCCCTCTAAGTAAGCATTTGCATACCTGCTACTTCTTGTCCCAGTTTTTTGAATTAAGTTGATTGTCTGTAAGACTCCAGGGACAATATTCTTACCGAGGAGAGCCAGATTTAGTGCCAAGTTCTGGTGGGGGATTTTTGCCAGTAGCTTTGCTGAAAGTGCTTGCTTCTCTGTGATATATTGGTTAGTCTGAGTTGGGATTTCAATTAGATTCTCAGGTAGACCTCTGGTTTTACAGAGCCTTTCTGCTAACGTGTGACCAACGTATGGTGAGAGTTTTATCAACAGTTTGACCACTGCAACCCCAAGTTCTTCATGTGGATTGTTGATGATCTCAACCAACGTGCAGCATGCTTCAGTCTCCTTGATCACCGAGACAACAGTGGCCATTGATTTGGGTGACTCGGTCAGGCACAAGAGTATCCTGATAAGATTGATGTTGAGTTCATCTGGGGTTGAATTCTTGAGCATGTAGATGATGCCATAGAGAACATAATCTGAATCCACAGGGTGGCCCTGAGTGTTTACTTGGAGGATTCCATGATCAATCCCCGACTCAAGTATATTTGCAAGTATTGCAGCAGCTTCTTTCTTTGAGTTCATTGGTTCATTGTAGATTGTCCGGATGAACATTTCTTCAGCCATGATATGCACAACGCCTGATTCTACAAGTATTCTTGCATTTGGGTGATAAGATGAGATCTCTGCTAGAGCCTGAAATGCTGCCCTTCTGATCAGAGTATTCCCACTCTGCACCATTTTGATGAGACAAGGAGAAGCCCGCTCAGCCACATAGGTTTTGCTGTCATGTCCAAGAATTATTTCTCCCAAGCAGCTTGCCATTTCCATCTGCATCTCCTCACAACCTGGTAATAGCATCTTTATACTTCATGATTCTATTATTTGGAAGTTGCTCAGAAAAACCGAATAAGAGTGCTTTTATATATTGAAAGGTGCAAAAAAAAAAGGCTGCATTGAATGGTGATATTCTTTGAATTACCTTCAATAAGATGATTTAGAAGAGGTTCCAGGAATCCATTCTCAGCCATACGCTTGATGTTGTCAGGACACTTCTCTAGGTTCTTTAATATTTCATCTGCTTTTTCTGAAGCAAAGGGATCAGTATTGCGATTATACCTGATTCTGATCAGCATCAGAATTGCTCCAGCAGCTGAGCCAATTTTTTCACCCACAACCTGAGATCTTGAAAGCTCAAGCAAGAGAAGCAATGTTGCATGCCTTACTGCCTGGAGAGTGCTTGATATCATCTTTATTAATGTTGAAATATCCAAAATCTGACCAATCATTTCCTGCACAAAATACCACTAGAATTCTGTATGTATTTTCAAATTTTTATTGCTGATTAAAAATGTTCTTTGTTATATTTCAACTAGAAAAAAGAGGGACCAGGAAATTAACAAGGAAGAATCAAACCTTTGCTTCATCTTCCTCTGCCAGTTGCCTTAATAGTTCCAACACTGCACATCTAATATGTCCATCTTTATGCTCCAGGAACTTTACAAGCAAAGGCAATATTCCAGCATCACAAACTTGGATCTTATTGTATGGTTTAATTTGGCAGATGCTATGCAGATCTCTCAGTGCTTCTTTCACCATACTATCTGAACTGGCTAAGGACAAAGCAGCACGGGCGACCTTGATCCTTGCAGCCTCATTCCTCTCCTTCCATTCATCTATCGTGGTCCTCAGAGCTACATTGGTGCTTAGAGCTCTGGTTGTCAGCTTCTTCCCTGAGGTGGGGCAACGGATATCCTCTGGATTTTCACATGCTTCAAACCACTCTGTAATAGCCTTCCTCTCATATGTTATTCCAGTTTCTATGGTTACTGGATCTTCCATGATCTCATTTGTTAAAGGACAGGAGAAGGTTTCATAAAGAGGCTCAATGTACTGAGCCACCTGTGACAATTCTGTAAGGTATTTTGTGCTCCCAGATTTTCTTTGGCTGCTTTGGCTTGTTCTTTTCGGGATGTCAAAAGGCATACTCAAAACCTGAGAATTTTCTCTGGAGACTTCAACAGTGATGGAGTAAAGGTCTGATTCAATTGGCGTGAATTCTTTCTTTGGCAGTTCAACTACAGAAATCATCCGAGATTCCAGCTCTTGGGGTTGCCTGACTTCAAAATGGACATTCTGCATCTCATCCGAAAGAGATCGGACAACAATTTCTGCATATTCCTCACCCTGGAATGTGGATGATGGTATCAAGCATAGGCATTCCCCCATATCTTTTACAGCCCTCTCCAGCTGAGCAATTATGCTTCTCAGTTCAGTATCTGAGACATGTTGTTTCCCTTTTTGACAATTCTCCACAAGTTCTTTTGCCAAGTTTATGCTTTGGGATAGAGAAGTCAGGATCTCTTTAGCATTTTTGGGGGTATTCTCAGTTGTCTGCAACTCCATTATAGCTGGAGAAATTCTGTAAAAGTAGCACCCAATTTCAATGAACTTTTCCTGCTCGACTTCTATGCATGCTACAGATTCTGTGATAACTGAAATGGCTCCTAACAAGGATCCAGAGAGACTGGCTAAAGCACTGTTCCCGTTGACCTGAAGAAAATTAGATGTTAATCCAGTTTTAGGGTTAATCATTTCAAAGTTTATTCTTGCTGATGAAACTGAATCTTCAAGAGCCTAGTTTTATACAATGTTCAAATTGCATCTGTTTTTTTCTCTTTATTGAACCTCAGGGAAAGCTTAACTACAAACTTACTTCTAGAAGAAGCAAGGATCTAGAGAGGTGATTCTGCAGGTTCAGAAGCCAGCAATAACCCTAATCAATTGTAAGTAAACCAGTTTTTCTGTCCTTGATTATTTCAATTCAAGTTTTCCACTATGAAAGTTCATCATACAAAAATTGATTCTGAACTATGTTCAAACTGATTCAAACACTAGAACCTAATTTCTCTTCTCAAAAGTTTGTTGAGAACATGGTCTAGTTTTAATTTAAATCTTATTGAAACTAAAAAATGTTGAGAGGGGAAGAGAGATATCAAAGGGTGCATACCGACATCCAACTGGAGCTGCTATATTCACTGACTCTACTGGTAAGAGTTGCTAACAGGGCCAACCTTGCAGAACATAGACACTAATAACTCTAGCTTGGAGAAGACTTTTTAAAAGATGGAGATAAACTAATTCCTGAAACCAGTCATTGGTAATTCATCTTACATTTCTATTATATATCCTCTGAAAGTGACATTCCTTTCTAGAATCCATATGGTGTGCTATATTTAATTCATTATATTTGGATTTCTTTATGTATGCATGCGTAGATTAACAGAGACCAATAAGACTCAGTCAGCTCCAGTGTGAGAAGGCTTCATAGGGGTTGAAGAATTGCATCTTTTCTCATTTTTATAAGGTTTCTTGATGATTTCAGAAAGCATATTAAGGAAGAAATCTTCAAGCGCCAGTAATTGACATTTTGGTGTCTTAATTTTGGAAAAAGTAAAACGATTGAGTGGTTAGACAGACTATTGCACCAACTACTTGTTTTACCAAATATATTTTATTTATGAATTTTTTTAACTTGTCTCCAATGAGATTAAAAGTATAATTAATATATTTTTAATTATTAATTTATATGAAAAAACAAAAAAAATTAATATTAATTTTAACATTAATGTCATGTATCTTAATTTAATTTAATTAATTAATTGTTAAAATTACAAATATATATATATATATTAACTATTCTTTTAATCTATGCTTCTAGGATTTATGTTAGGAAAACCTTATTAATATTAATTTTAACATTAATGTCACGTATTTTAATTTAATTAATTAATTATTAAAATTAAAATTAAATTTTATTCTTTATATATAATTTAATGACAAAAAATATATACATTAACTATCCTTTTAATCTATGCTTCTAGGATTTATGTTAGGAAAACCTTATTTATTACTGTCTTTATGTAGATTCCCAGATTTCATGAATGTCAAACATCTCAAGTCAATATGATGACGGCATGAAGGAAACTTTTCCAAAAGCATGTTCATGGTAGAGGATAGAATTATTAATAAAATCTGAGAAAAGTATGCAAAGAACTTATATCCACAGAGAACCAAAGTTCCTGCATATTATGAATTCTACAAAGATAAATTTGCAACAAATTAGAGATTTTATTTTACTTGGGTCAAGAATGAAACAATAATCAGTATCAAGTTTGAACGTTACAAATACACTATGTTAATCAAGTATACAGCACAGAGGACATGCCGATGTGTGCTTTGGCTTCTTGCCTCCTGGAAAATGCAAAAAGATCATCGACAGTCGAAGCTATCATCATTCTGTCACATGGGATCACTTCATCAACCATGTGTGTTGCTTGCTTCAATTCTGAAGATTGGATTTCTCTTTTTCAAAGAGCTAGCTTAAAGACTGTTCGAACTGTTATTTCAAATAAATGCCAAATACTGCACCATCTTATTTCTTTGATCTAGAAGATGGAACTTCAACTCTGGAGCAGTGAGCTTGAATGGAATCTCCCAGAAACTGTTTTAAGAAGTCCTAGCAATGGCATACACATGTACAAAGGAATTGCAGACACACTGACTGTTGGCAAGCCACCTCAAAATTTTCCATTTCTTCCCTTACTCATTATGGAATCTCATGCCCACATATGTGAGAATTATGACTCGACAGCTTTGGCGGATTGCAGTCAAGACAATAAAAGCAAATCCCTAAAACCGTCTGGCCCAGACTAGTTGAAGAAATAGGGGGATTCCAGAACCTCTTGAAGATCAAAGTCTCCTCGATCTGGTAAGGGTGGAAACTTTAGTGTAGGATAGGACTTCTGAAAGCTTTCCAACAACTGTAAGCACAAAGAAACCATCAAAATGGCATTCAGAAGGTAATATTAGAACCAGCAAGAATAAATTTCATTTGAAGAGAAGTTTTTATTTAGAGTGGTTATCTTATGCATGAAATGAAACTAACTCCTTTGAGGTTTCCACCACCATTCCATACTAAGGCTATGAAACTCCATACCTCCCACCCAAGGCGCAGACTCCCACAGATGCATTTTGCATGCATGTCATTTGCGGGCATGTCATTTGCGGGAAAAGGAAGAGATTTTACCGAAGCAATGTAACAACATGATGAAAAAGCAAGTTAAATGCTAAGATGTGCACTAGTTCTGAGTGTGATTAAAGATGCAGATTTACTATAGTGATTTCAGTGTGTTTAATAACTTAGAACCTACCCTTTAATGAAAGAAGGCCTCTAAATTAGTTAGTTCTTTTTTTTTTTTCCTTTTTTTTGGCCAACATAAAATTAGTTGTGTCAGAATCGTATAACTCATATAAAAGATAGAAATAGAGACACTTTACATTCTCTAACACAGGTGCCTCATAGAGTTCAACGAACTTTTCTCTGAGTATCCTGTTCATTGCATCAACATCACATGCATGTGTCCAATATGAATCATGGACTCCTGTAACCAGACATTGGCAGGAAATAGTTAGTTTTCTTAAGACATACAATGGTACAAGACATAAAAGAATGTATGAGCACAGAAATCAATAGGTGCATGTGAAAATTTACTCAACCTGCAAAATTCAATCCTGCCTTTTTGCAGGCAACAGCCGTCATCATCATGTGAGAGCCATCAAGCGAGTGAACAAAATTTGGAGGAAAAGCAGTTCTTTGCCGCTTGACTATGATCTATAACAATCACAAACACTTGAGTTAATAGAGTGCTCAGACTTGGTTGCCATACAGCAGGACTGACAATATCCAGATGGAAATCATGGAATATGAAATAGCAATCCAAAAACCATACTGGCAACTGGAATTTAAAAATGCTGGTTCCCATATAGATAGTTATAAGTTAAGAGTTCTCCCTTTCTATCTTTACGGCTTACACTGAAACGTGGATAGTGAAAGAAGCTCATATATTTGGCATGCTTTTTAGGAACAAGAAAGATCAACAAGTCTGAAAAGCAGCAAGGGGAAAGGAAAATACCTTGTCAGTCTCACGTTTTAATGTCAACACCTGGAGAGAAGTTTTAATCTGCATCCAATTTAACAAGACATAAAAGATAATGATGTTATGCGATTGTTGATGGTTTCATTTTAGAATAGAATGATGGTTTCATTTTAATATCATAGAACATTACAAGATGTCTTCCCATTTGTCGGTAAGGTTGAACAACAGGAAGTCCCAAGGGAGTGGTCCATTCCACTGCCTGATTCTCTGAAGCTATCACCTGTTTATATTCAAATAATCTTTCAGCAATTCTAGAAGCCTGATGGCACTTGACAATATGGATAATGGTTATATATGCCAAAATTTACCCAAAAAAGAGTAAAACCAAGATGAGTGACAAGCTACAGCCTACAAGACATAGAGGTAGTCTAAAGAAGAGGCCCATCTGTGTGCAATAATAGTAGAGAAGAATAAACAGGACATTGATATGAATTCCTTTAATTTTATGTGAAGATACCAAAAGCACTTTGTTAGAGCCAAAAATAAATTTAACCTGCTTTATCAACAAGTTATTGGAAGTTTATTAAACTTGAAAACTCAGGCACCTATGTTGTGCATGTAATTTCCAAACTACTACGAGGCACATGCTCTCTGTAGCTCTTGATAATGATAGTAATCACAACTAAGAAACACTGAGAAACAAAATACTACAAAAAAGTTAATAGACCTTTGCACAGTCCCCAAGCCAACCCATAATACTCCTAGCAGCTTGAAACATCTCTCCTAGGGCAGCCAAGGTGATCTGCTCATTCAGAAACAGGATTAACTTAGACCTCACTTCAAAGATGGCCAAACAACTAAAAAAACACTACAGTTTTATTTCCTTACTCTTGCTGCATAGCAAGATGCGGCAAACATCTGTGAATCATCAGCAATGGCACAACGCTCCTTCAACCTTCTTTTGATTTGGTCACGAGCGCCAATATAAGTAACACCATAAACTGATGTCATCACTGTCTGCTTCACTAACTTCCTATCCACCTAAGTATTGAAATTGAAAGGTAAAACATATGTTGCATGACACGAACAAACACTACCAGGACCAATTAATGGAATCTTTTATGCAGATTCTACACTGGTCAGTTCAACAAACACAAGGGATGAGAGAAACCTGATTGATTAAGAGCTTAGCACATAATGCATTGGGATTTGTTGCAGGATCTTTCTCTGCATCTTTCCGCATTATGTCAAGAACACTGAAGAGAACAGCAAACTCAATTAGCTATAATTTTTTATTATTATTATTTCACCATCAATTAACTAGATCAAAAACAATCCTTTTGCCCAACCTCTAAACTCTACTTTACAAGATGGTTTTTTGGGTGAAATTCTTCAGGACAAAAAGTGACTAAGCAACTCTGGCCAAAAAACAAAGAAAAAAGAGGAGACTAAACCAAAATGATTTTAATAAATCAGCCCACATATACATAAACTTGAAAACTTGGGTTGGGCTTGCTTATGTCCATATATGTTTAAGAAATCAGATTTGAGACATAGACTTCATATATCATTGATTGGAACAACTTTAATAAGGAAAATTTCCTAGTACCAAACCCCATGTCAATAGCTGCAGCCCCTTCCCACCTCATTGCTACCTGGTGATGTTGCAGAGAGACGGTGTGAAGGAGGAGGAAAGAGATAGCATTGCTCACCGCTCAGCTATTCCAGAATAGACATCAGCAGGTTTCTCTCCCGCAACAAGATTCACTGCAGCTGCTCCCAACTGGAAGACAAAGCAAGTCAATCAACATTAAGATAACGTTAACCTATAGGCTATATTGTCAAAGCATAAACTAATGCTGACAGGAAGACATCATTCTGAAAGTTACACTTCCTCACAAACATTCTCAGACAAAAAACATTATTGAACTATTGTGCTTACTGCCTTGCCAATTATTTGTAATTTAATCACTAAAAGATTCAGTAATTATACCAAAAAAGAGCTTTGAAACTTTGTCTGAATTCTACACTAGTTGGGGCTTTTCACCTTCACGACGGGAGTATTCAGGTGTCATTGGAACTAGAACTGTATTATTTTATGTTATTTTCAGAAACTTTGCACATCAAAACCTCCTGTAACAAAATCCAACTATTATGTTCTATATGTACACTTAAACTTCTTTCTTGAGCAAGGGTTATTTAAAAAAAAAAAAAAAAATTGAGGACCAAGGCTCATGTCCATACAGATCGAAGTGTTGGAAATAATTTAGTTAGGCTAAACTAAAGTGAAGTGTCCACTAGACATATACCAAGTTATCAGCAAACCCGTACAAACGTTCACATGTGCATGCACACGCACACACACATACATAGAAACAGAAACCAAAGAATTAAACAGTTAGCCATTAAAAAGGAAGAAGAGAGAGAGAGATTTACCTTGTCCCTTCCTAAGGCAGCATAGTGTTGTAAACCATTGCATGAACCATCCTTGCAAAACAATGAGCAGTAACCAAAGAATAAGTTGAAGTTCAAAAAGAATGAGACACTGAACTCATGACGATATCAGACACTGTCAGATTCATGATGATCTAGCATCATTGCAACACAATCAAGGAAGTGGGAAGTATCATACTATTATTCCATGTTCCTACTAACATCAGCCATCACTCATGTTCAAAACATGACAAAAATTTTCACAATCTAACCGAGTTAGAGGCTCTTGCATCTTCAAAGAAACATTACCCCAAACTATAAGTGCAGTAACAGCTATTATATGTATCATCCATGATTAAAGTTTGCATAGACAAAAAATTGTGGATGAAAAAAAAAAAACTGCACATTAATTAAATACCTGGTGAACTGGCATATGTGAAATAGTAGTCTCAGGGGAGGAGCTTCTCAATGCTTCTGCAAGATTTATACATGCTGCCAGGCACTGAAAAGGGTCCTCTGCTCCCAACCACCAGCACTTTCCTTCAAGAGGCCTGTCTGCAGAATCAGAGATGTCATCCAAATGGTTCTCTGTAAATGCTACTCGACTCTCATAAGACAACTTGTCCACACCACCAGCATACAGATTTGCTAAATGTATCTTCAACCAGCGCAATCCTGACTTCCCAAGAGGGCGCCCCTCTGCAAACTCCAGGACGCCCCGGCAGAGGTCAGAACCAAGATGGTTTAGATATGGATGCATTGGATATGCACGGCCTCGGAAATCAAGGTTGTGAGGGTAGTAAAAGCCTTCCTCATCTTTCATTTTTCGGGCCACCTATCCCCAATGAAAAGAATTAATATACCACCCACTAGAACAGGTTACACAGGTAAGTAGATGTTACAGATTATTGTAGCTCCTTACATTAAGTTTGAGTTCAATATCACACCGCTGAGAATGCCTCTCACAGTTCTCCTTTTTAGCAGCTTTAAGTTTCCACTTCCACTTCCGAATTTCTGCTTCATCTTCAGTGTCTGGTTTTTCAGGCAGTGGAATCTGTTAAGCAAATCAAAAGAAATTGACCAATTAACAAAACTGGGCAAAAAGTGCAGATCTTAACATTCTATTTGCACAGGTTACAACAAACCAGATGGGTTTATCTACTTCAGAACAGAAAGGTATATATTAACCAGTAAAAAGGACAAATTCTACAAATTTAATTTTAACTCACATCTTCACAGTCGATCAGACCAGCAACAGAGACTCCCCTAGCCCATAATCTTTCCATCACACTGAGTACCCTCTTATTTATCCTCCATTTGGTATTTCCTAATGTATCCAGGGCCTGATTCATTAAAACAAAAAACTTAATTGAAAAGGTGGAGAGATGCATATGGTACACAATGCTAAATTGAGGAGTCACAATCATAAGGCTTTTTCTGCCATAAAAAATAAAAAATAAAAAATAAAAAAGAAGATAATCAAGAATCTTTAATGCTGCAGCAACAAAATAATTGATAGATCTCAAGGATTTCAAACCTCAAAAACAGGCTCCAATTGTTTTGTTGGAGTTCTTTTAACTGTTTCTCGCTGTTGTTTAGCTCCATGCGTTCGCATGATATAGGATGGAAGAAACAAGTATGCACCTCGGTCATACCTACCAAAACGTCAAAAAACTTGTAGATAAACACTTACCAACTAAGCACATAAAAAGTGAAATCAAGATTGTTATTTCACATTAAATGAGTATGCTAGTCACTACACATTTAAATACCCTGTAAACTAGAACAAGCACAGCATTGCTTTTCTTTTATGATGATTTTTTAATAAGATTGCTCAAGATAAGACCAAACTAAGCAATCAGATAGAACACAAACTTGAAAAAAAGAAAAAAAAAGAGAGAATATCAAAAGACAAAGAAATGGAAAAATGGAAATCCCAGATGCATACCCTGTCCAGTTTTTAGGAGGCACTAACATTGGCATGTAAGGAATGACCATGTGCTTTGCCTGATTGAACAAGCAGACATTAATTTCATCTCAGTCTCAAAATATATGCATTTTACCAAGAAATAAAAAATATAGATATGCATTCAAAAGGAGGTGAGTTATAAAAAACTTTTCACAAGATCAGTAGTTTCTTCTACTTACAGTTTTTTCAAGGCCTTTGCGAACTAGAGGGTCACATTCAATAACACCATATCTCCTGCCCTTTTTACTGGTGAAAGGCAACAACAAAATTGTCAACATACTTGTGTTTGCCTGTGTCCACAAGAGTTATAAAGGTATTATAGAGTTGCAATTTTCATACTGTGCTTGTGTCTCTTTAGTGATAGTTCTCAGAGCATGTGTAAATGCTGGACGAATATCAGGTGGACCATCCCCTAGCTGATCGGTTGGAGGTTGTATATATGCAGTTTCCATCAACAACTGAATTAAACGGCATCCAACCTGTGAAGTACAAGCAGCAGGATGGTACAATAAGAACACAACAACAAGCAGAATATATTTCAGTTTTATAACTGACAACATGTTACATACCTTAACTTGTGATTCCTGCCCCCAAGGCTTTGAATCATCATGCCCCTTCACTATTTGCCTCACTTGCTGCACCTTTTGCCTTTTTATCAACTGAGTAACTTTTTTTCTAAGTCTTGCCTCTTGTTTGGCCAGTTTATCTTGTTCACTGGTCATGGGTTCAGATTCATCCTCAGGTTTTTTATTAGTTGTGCTCTTCTTCTTTGTCTTCTCTAAAAATCTCTGTATTCTGACCTAATCCATATTGTAGAAATTAAAGGCAAGCCATCAGCAATATATAGAATTTGCCTTCCTTGCTGCTCTAAATATACATGATTTATATATAACAAGCAGCTTTATCCTGACAAGCTCCAATTTAATCAACATTTGGCACTCAATGTCTCCTGCATTTCTTTCATTGATGCATTCCCATGTTTATTTGATATCAAAACATTCCATCTTAGCCAATATTTTTTAAACTTGCTTTAATGTTTTTGGTTTCTCATTTATGAGGGATTAACCAGAGTCTGGCAAAATCCCATATAGATCCCCAAAATGAAACAGGAGTCACATGAAGCAAAAAAGAACTTTTCCATCATTTGCACAGACCAATTGCCTCCATCATTCGTTGAGCAAATATAATCGTCAGAGATATACAGATACCATCAAGACAATGAAACTCTATAACCAAGTCCACTACAACTAAAATCAACAAATTTCATTTTGTCTATCTACTTAGACAACACATCCATCAAAAACCACATGTCATATACCCCGAGAAAAATCACATTCACTGGAACTAAAGCAACCTAACCAAAAAGGAAAAAACAAGAAGCTTGAAAAGTTCTAACTTCACTCACCTCATGTTCAATGGCTTCCCCTATTTGAATAGCCGCTTGGACCACCATAATACCACCAGTTCCTCCACTACTCGTCATCAACAACCCCATCAACTTATGCATGGTAATAACTGCCATCATATCTGCTTGTAAGTCATTAAAAAATGGGGCATGAGATAAATGGGTTTCGTCCTTGCATCGTTCTTGCTCAGCAGCAATAGCATCCCTCAAAGGCTCAAACCAACCAAGTAACAATGATTTTACATATGGCAAGTTCGGTGCAAGCTTTTGCTCGCACATATCCATCAGCAACTCTTGGTACTCTTTTGCTGCCTGTTCCCATGCCTCAGTCTCAATCTTCGTTTGCCTCCTCCTTAGCATATTGTACTTCCCTATCCCCATACCCGCAATCATTTTCTTCGGTTGCTTCAAGTCCAACAGCATCTTCTCTGCTCTGCTCATCTCTTCTACTAATTCATGGATTTCCTCAGACCCCGATAAGTCCTCTTCTGCCGAAATAGCAGCCTCCGCAGTACTTGCATACCCCGTCGCCAGTCTGAATAACCCAGAAACACCCAAAGGTTTGCTCGACCGAGATAAACTGAATCTACCCAATTCATCTTTTGAAGAACACAAGACAAAGTTTTGCCAAAAACCCCGTTGCGGGCATGGATTAGTTCCCATGATCTGGCTGTTGACAGGTCTGGTTTCCTCTAGAAAATTCGAGCCCCAGAAAAACCTTGCAAAAGTGCAGCCAGAGAAGGGTTCAGACGCAAATTTAAGCTTCCGGTCTGTAACCCTTCTGGTCAAGCTTCTCCACATGCTTGATCTAAGTAGTTGAACGAATTAATCGATTAAATTTGGAGATAATGATATAGGAAGAGGAGAAATTTTCTCTGTATGATCTAGTAAAGTGATTGAAACATTGGAAAGATGAGGCGGCGAGGAAGGAGGAGTTATGAAGAAATTGAAGAACAAGTGAGGGTTCAAGAACTGCAAGACCTGTCAGTAAGGAGAGAGAACGCGAGTACTGTTAGCCGCCATTAAACCCTCCTAAAACCTACGTTCCCGTCTGTGTTTCTGTTCTAAAATCCGTGGGTTTTTGCCCACGTGTTTTATTTTGTTTGGGTTGACCCGTAAACCCGTAAACCCGTAAACTTTTCTATTATTTTTTCTTGAAAAAAAAAAAGGGGATTCAATGGAATGATCTAAAATAAAGAAAATGCTACCATAACACTTCTTTGTGTTATTATAAATTTATAATATAATATAAGAAAATAATTTTTATATAATCTTTTTATTTTATTTTTTTATATAACTTGACGTATCATTAGAATAATTGTTGTTTTGAATTCATGTAAGATCTATAATATTGAATACATCTATTCATTTAATAATACATAGAGGTATTTAATAATACATGGAGGTTGTATGCAAAAATAATATAAAAAGGTTATGCCTATAGCACCACCTTATAATATATTATTATATAATTAATTTTTTTATTTAGAAATCCTTCTGTGATATTGTATATATCTATTTATTTAATATCATATCAAATTCATTAAATATCATATAGACAATTTTACGTTACATTATAATTATAACACTATCACTAAAATAATATGTAATATATGAAAAAAAAAACTCTCCATCCAATAATTAATATTTTACAATTTATTTTAATTTAAATTGCAAAACATTAAATTTTTTTTTGGTGGTGCTATAAAAACAACATTTTCATATTATCTTTTTATACAACTTTCACATATTATTAAATGAGTAAATGAATTTAATATCACATGTTTCACATGAATTAAAAAAACTAATCATTTAAATGACACGTCAAGTTATACAAAAAAATAAAACAAAAAAATTATACGAAAATGATTTCCTTATTTTTTTGTTTCTCTCTTTCTTTCTTTCTTTCTTTCTTTTCTTTTTCTCTTTTTTTTTTTTTTATTTTACTTTTAACTCCAGCTCAAGAAAAATATATCCATTGGACCATTACACATTTGACAACTCCAACCGTATGGAAGAATATGATGCATTCTACCAATGCCATGATCCAATTAATACATTTTAATCTTTTTTGGGTGAAATAGTGCATTTTAATATTGGTGAGTGAGCATAGAGCTTGAATCCATTCAGATTTTAGTGAGATCCATTCACATTCCATTCAAGAAACAATGTGTAAAAGCATTCCCTTCTTTTCCATCTACGCAAAAGCCACTTTATTGAAATTCAGCCAAAATTTCCTCTTACATCAATCTCTTGTTCTTGCATTATTTCAATACAAAAATTAATGTGATAGTCTAACAACATATCTAAGCCTGCCAAGGATCATTCTCTGTCCTTACTTCGGATGGTTCAATTACTTCAGTCTCTGCAGCTGAACTTGCATCAGTTTGAGTAGCATTATCTTCCAATGTCTCTTCCTCGTTTCCATCTGCTCGACCCCATCTTCCTCCGAGGGCCATTGCCATCATCTCGTATATCTTGTTACCTAACTCTGCCGGGCTATCAGGCTGGCAAAACCAAGAAGGTAGTATGAACAAGATGAAAGGAATGGGAAATGTATCTAAAATTTAATATTTAAGAAGAAGGTTTCTTCTAACTTACAGTGAATCCACTGGAGATCAATGCTGTATCATATAAAAGGTCAACCGCTCTCCTGGCATCAGTGCTATCAGGTGCATTCTTACAAGCAGCCTGCAATTAGAGTAACCAAAATTCAATATCAATCTGCAAAGCAACCTATAAGGTCAAAATAGTCTCAACAATTTTTTGTATGATCTTTATACTCTTTCAATTAATTAGCATCAAACCCAGCACAATTTTCACAATAAACATTTTTCAACCACCACACCATCAAGCTATGCATTTATCCAGATGCATTAAAGATAAGTTCTTCACTGCCACTATCATTTATTTTTTCTTAAACAGGCAGTATGGGGGAATATGATAATCAGTTACATAAATTAAAAATGCTCTCATGGGTTAGATGATGGGCACCGCAAGCTACTTTTACTTTGTAATGGTGTGATAGAAACAGAAAATCTCAACAAATACTAATCATGAATTCAGAAGATAGCTCCATTATTTTTGATGGAGGAAGATATTCCTCTTTAATGGTCTTCTTGTTCTTTAAAATATTCCAATTTGCACATGGGTTGAATTTTCATCAACACCATACACACATGTAGTGCAGTTCTAAATTGAAAAACGATCTGTCAGGGTTCTCTTTAGTTAATTATGTAACATTCTGAAAGTTCTATATAATCCCACTGTTTACCATCCAGCCATGCAGTTGCTAGTTACTGTGCCTTTCCTAATATATAGGTCAATTATGCAACAAAAATTAACCAGCATCAAGCAGAATGGCCTTACATTTAAATCTTTAACAATAGGGTGATCTGGATTGATCTCCAATATCCGGCGGCCCCTCATGAACTCCAAACTTGAAGTATCTCCAAGAGCTTGTGCTTTCATCAACCTACAAGATGCAGGACAATATTAATTGAAGATAGCATTAGCCTTTCATTATGAGAATTTAAAGAAAAATTACCAACCTCTCCATATTGGCTGACCATCCAAACTTGCCAGATACAAGCACACAGGGAGATGAGCTTAGACGCTTAGAAATTTGGACCTTGGCCACCTTGTCACCAAGTTGTTGCTTTATCCAATCACAGAGAAGATTGAATTCTTGTTTAGTTTCTCTCTCTTTCACCTCATCCTCATCTCCTGTTATAAAATTTCCATCTCATAATCATAAGTAGGTAAAAGATGATAATCAAATATGTTACCCAAGATACAATGAAGGGAAAGAATTTACTAATACTAACCAAGCTCCAAATCCTCCTTGCTGATATCAACAAACTTCTTTTCCTTGTAGGTCTGCAGGTTCTGGATGGCAACTTCATCAATAGGCTCAATCAAATAAAGAACCTACAAACAAACATGCCACATCCACCAGGAAAAAGCATCAATGCAACATACATATTGAAAAAAAAAAAGAAGAAAGAGTTAAAAACAACATAGGCTACCAACAGGGTGGACAAAAATAGAGGATAAATTATGAGTCTCGATTAAAAAATAAAGCATTGAAATCTTCCTCCCTACTTTCTTGATTTGCATATCCAAAACAAACTCCAGCAGTCCAACCTAGCTCTATCATTAGTTAGTATTTCCAAGTTCAGATTTAGAAAGATATCTCAGCAAGTATGGAATTCCATATTTATCAATTATCTTCACATAACTTCAAAAGGAATATCAACATCCATAAATGTACCTCAATGTCTTTCTGAACCAACTTTTCCAAGAATGGCGCAGTCTTGGCACTTTTCAAGCTGTCAGTTGCCAAATAATATATAGCCTTTTGGTTCTCAACCATGTTCTCAACATATTCATCCAAGCTTGTCAGGTCCTCTTCACTTTTTGATGTGTGAAACCGAAGCAATGGGGTTATGCGCTTATGATTACCAGTGTCTTCAATGCATCCTAACTTTAAAAACCTACCAAAGTTCTCCCAGAATTTTTTATAATCCTGTACTTCAAGTAAACTATGTTAAAATCTAATAAACAGAAATAGGTAGAAGGGTGGAATCACATGTTTAATCACTACCAACCTCTTTAGTTTCACTCTCAGCAAGGTCTTGAATCATGTCAAACGTTTTCCTGACAAGTCTTTTTCTCATAATTCTTACAATTCTGCTCTCTTGTAGAATCTCTCGAGAAACATTAAGAGGAAGATCATTTGAGTCCACCACACCCTTAACAAAACTCAAATATCGTGGAAACTGCAATGATTATTAAATGGTGCCCAATCAAAGTCATGAATTTAAAACCATGTTGGTACATAACAAACCTATCAAGCTATTGTATCAAAACTTACTAGCTCTCCATCAAAATCATCTGAGATAAATACACGCTTCACATAGAGACGTATATTCTTTGTTTTTGGATTTATCACCTCCTCATTGTTAAGAGGTCCCATGCCAGGAATGAATAGAACACTCCTAAACTCCACTTCACCCTGCAAGGTTTTTTAAATGAAAGTTCAAAACCCTTGCCACAATTATGAAGTCAAGTCAAATAGCAAAAAGAAAAGTACCTCAGTGGTGAAGTGAGTATGCGCAAGTGGATCCAAGAATTCATTGAATGTTTTCTTATAGAATTCATGGTACTCATCTTTTTGAACTTCTTTTGGATTCCGCATCTACAACACGCCACAAAATCAACACATAAAGCATTGGTATAGAACAGTTGAACCATATCCAATCTTCATATCACAGAGGCAGATTAAGGGATGGAATTGAAAACAAAATAGCTAGAGAAAAACAAATCAGTGACATAAGCCACAATTAAAAGGTGCTGATTGAACATTAAACTCACCCATATTGGTTTTGTTTCATTAGCCAATTCCCAGTCCCAATATTTCTCAGTTTTAGTTGTCTTCTTCTTTTTCTTCTCACCCTGGCAATAAGCACCAAGCATCAGGACCAATTTAAGCACCACACTTGTTGAGTAGAATTTCATTTCATCATTCATGTTAAGGTTGGGCATGTCATGGTTACCTCCGGTTTGTCTTCTTCTCCCTCTTTGGGTGGTTCCTCCTCCTCCTCCTCCTCCTCCTCCACCTGCCCGAAGATCAAATTGGTAAGCAGCAAGACTATTAGGAGCCTAAATTATAGTACTTATAGCTGACCACCCAATAAATCAACAATCATGTGGGTTACATTTCAAGATCAAGAAAATAATAACTTCACAAAGGACATGGTGAAAGAGAATAGTAAATAAACTTGGGGTGCAGTTTTATCAGGGGTATCTAACTACCTGCTTAAAGTAGATAATTGTCATCAAAGTAAGTGCAAATTAATTTCCTTACCTCAACTGTCCTTGATTTTTCTTGCCATGTGTAGATGGGAAAAGAAACAAACTGAGAATAATTCTTAACCAAATTCTGAATTCTAGTGGGATCTGAAAATTCATACTTGTCATCCTCCTGTGGAAAATAGAAATAAAAAATAAAATAAAATAAAAACCCTTTA